GGAATGGGAGAAAGAGCTAAAACTGAGAGAGCTGGAGGATCGTGAACAACAGAGACAGCATGAAGAGAGACAGCGTCAGCATGAACTGGAACTGGCGAGACTGAAGGGCAGCCAACCCCCGGCTGCGGTGAGTGAGGGGGACCCAGGACTGCACGGAGCTTTGATAAGTGCATCCTGGCCCCACGCAAGGAGGGGGAGGACATGGATGACTTCCTGGAGGCCTTTGAGACGGCCTGCGAGCTGCACCGGGTTGATCCTGCAGACAGACTCCGGGTCCTTACCCCCTTACTGGACCCCAAAGCCGTGGCATTGTACCGCCAACTGGAAGAGGCAGAGAAAGGGGACTACGAACTATTCAAAAAGGCCCTGCTACGTGAGTTTGGGCTGACTCCTGAGATGTACCGGGAAAGGTTCCGGAGTCAGGATAAAACCCCTGAGATCTCATATCTGCAACTAGCCGTCCGCATGGAGGAATACGCCAGCAAGTGGGCTGATGGGGCCCAGACGAACGAGGACCTGGTTAAACTGCTGGTACTGGAGCAACTGTATGAGCGGTGTCCATCCGACCTGAGGCTGTGGTTGAGGGACAAAAAACCAGAGAACCGTGCAGGCCGGCTGGCCAACGTGCAGGCCGGCTGGCCGATGAGTTTGTAAAGAGCCGGTCAGGAGATAACAGGGAGGAGTCCCAAAGGAATGGTCCCACCACAACGCAGAGAGAGAGTCACCATGGGACCTCCCCATGGGAAAATACGGAAAAACCCCATCAAAGGGGAACATCCGGCGTCAGGGCCATCCGACCCACTCGAGGGGACCCATGGGACATGGGCTGCTATCACTGTGGCCAGAGAGGCCACATACAGGCCCAGTGCCCCAGGCTCAGGGACAGACTGAGCAGACCGAACCCACAGAGGGTTGACTGGGTAGAGACCCAGCCGGGCGAGAGGCAGCATTCCCAGGGAAAGGGGGCTGGCAGAGTACCACCTGCTAAGGAGGGAGGAGAGCTCTAGGCCAGCTCCTCTGGGGGGCTGGATGCTCCAGACTCAGGGTTTTTGGTTTATACGGTGGGCGCGGGGCTGTCCCTCCGGAGAGAGTACCTTGTTCCCCTGGAGGTGGATGGGAGGAAGGTCAATGGATACTGGGATACGGGCGCAGAGGTGACGCTGGCCCGGTCCGAGGTGGTGGCCCCAGATCAGGTGGTGCCCAACACCTACCTGACCCTGAAGAAGGTGGGCGGGACACCAGTCAAAGTGCCCATGGCGAGGGTACACCTGAAGTGGGGGGCCAAGGAGGACCCCAAGGATGTGGGGGTACACCCGCATTTGCCCACTGAGGTGTTGATGGGGGGGGACCTGGAGGACTGGCCAAGCAACCCCCAGAATGCACTGGTTGTGACCCCCAGTCAGAGCCGGCGAGGAGTACTGCGCCCTGACCTTGGGGAGGGTGCCTTGCCCGAGGCGCAGGACCCTAACCTGGTGGGGAGGGAACGCCCAGGGACACGGCTCAGGGAGGCTGCAGCTTCAGACCCAGCTGGCGAGAGAGAGCAGGTGGCCATCCCTGTCCCAGCTGCTGAGTTCCAGGCCGAGGTGCAGAGAGATCCCTCCTTGCGGAAGATAAGGGACCTGGCCGACCTCGGTGCGGTACAGACCATGGGACGAGGTGGCCGGAAAAGGTTCCTGTGGGAGACGGGGTTTCTGTACCGAGAATGGGCTCCCCCAGGGAAAATGGAGTCAGGGGGGATCAGGAGGCAGCTGGTGGTACCCCAGAAGTATCGCAGCCAGCTGCTGTACCGGGCCCATGATACCCCCCCTCTCAGGGCACCAGGGAACCTGGCGTACCCAGCAGAGGCTGCTACGGAGCTTTTACTGGCCTGGGGTCTTTGTTACTGTCCAACAGTAGTGCCGATCCTGTGACCCCTGTCAGAGCGGGAGGAAGGCCCGGGACAAGGGGAAAATGGCTTTAGGACCCTTGCCCAGCATAGAGGAGTCTTTCCAGAGGGTGGTCAAGGTAAAAAGGGCGGCTCTGAACCAGGAGAGCCCGAAGCACAGACCTCCAGACTGGAATGCTGGGAGAAGACCTCAGCCCAGTTTGAACCCCAGGGGTATTGGGGTGGGAAAAGGGCACAGGCCGCATAAACCTTCCCACATGCGAACTGCGAGTGCCATCAAGCACCCCGACCTAAGGGGGGGTGTGAAACTGGAAGGGCCTGGTGTAATTCTCACCAAGGAATGGGAGGGATGCTGGGGCATCCACGGGAATGGGGGTAGGTTCGAACTTCCCCGGGTCACTGGCTGAAGTGACCCCGCTCAGTTCGGTCTCGAAGGGGGGAGAGATGTGATGAACTGGGACTGTTCTTACTGTGGTCTGTGAATGCTGACAGGGGAGTGTGGCTAGGATGGTCTGCATTGGGGGATGGGAGACTGACCAACGGAGAATACCTGAGCATGTAACATGAGAACCCAGGAAGGGGTTAGAGGCCAGGTGACACCTTGGCCCGGGAAACTGAACAAAGACTGTGGGAGGGGTCACTGAAGGCAGGGTCTCAGAAGCTGGCTAGTGAGGTGGCTGGGAAGCAGACGGGCTCTGACCTCCCAAGGGGGCTGGGATGCCCTGGGACCCCAAGCTGGACCTAACTAAGAGGTATCCTGTTGTCTGTGCCTGCAAGACCTGTCTTGGACTGTGTCCCTGTCGTCTAAATAAACCTTCTGCTTTACTGGCTGGCTGAGAGTCATGGTGAATCGCAGGAAGCCGGGGGTGCAGGGCCCTGAGTCCCCCCACACTCCGTGAGAGTTGGACTTTAACAGCAGCCGCGGCGACGCCAGCTCCAACCCAGCTCCTCTGACTCCTCTGCCCCCCAGGACAGTTGCTAGCATCTCCGGGGCCAGTAGGGAGATGCCCAAACCCAGGGGATTTTCCGGCTAGAGACTCGCTCCAGCGAACGGGGCCGGGGCTGGAACAAACCCCTCGTTTCACACGGCACCTGCCACGGCTCCCCCGGTTCCTGCTCTGCTGTGTCTGTAACAGCCGGTCCCAGGGGTCAATGGGGGGTTTGCCGTGGGGCTGAGCAGGCTGCGGGCTCTGGACCCCACCCCCGGCCTGTGTTCAACCCTGTTCAGTGTGGGGCAGGGGCTGGGGCGTGTTTGCACCTTGGGCCCTTTATTGCGTCTCCATGAACACAACAAGGCGCAGAAGGATTTAGCCACCGGCTTTTCTAGGGCCCCCCATGGCAGGTGTCTGGCGGGAGCCAGAAGTTTGAGGGAAGTAGGTTGGGGGTGTCGGGAGGGGGGTTGAGGGGGCCGGGATGGGGGACAGGAGTTTGAGGGCAGACAGGCTCCCCTCAGAAGGTCAGGGGGGAGGGGGGGTTAGGATTGTTGGGGTGTCTGAGGGGGGAGGAGAAGACGGTGCCCCCCAGGAGGGAGCTGCCATTGCTACCCCTCTCGCTGCCCCCTCCTGCTCCTGCCCCCTCAGTCCAGGGTCCCCCACTTTCTTTCCCCTCAGTCTCCTGCCCCCACATACCCTCCTGCCCCACATTCCGTGCCCCATAATGACCCCCCCCATGCCTCACCATCCCCTCCCCTCTTCCTCCTCTCTGACCCTTTAGATACTCCTGTGCCCCAACATTCCCAGCCCCCCAATACCCTTTCCTGACCCCCCTTCTCTGCTCCCCACACTTGCAGGAGGGACATGGGGGGAGGAAACGACCCCCCATGGCCACAGGGTAGGATCAAGAGATGGGAGTTGGGGGGACACAGGCTGGGGGTCAGGCTAGGGTCAGAGATGCCAAGGGGCTCGTTCCCATGCAGCCATCGTCCCACCGCAACAGTCGGGGGGGGGGATTGTTCCCGTCCCCAGGCTGAGGCATCAGCCATCTTAGCCAGGGGTCAGCGAGGGCTGTAGGGGGTTTCGGGGCGGCCACATTAACTGAGGACAGCCAGGGGTCCCTTCCCTACAATGGGGAGGTCGGGGGCGTGAGGGGATAGGGGGTGGGGGGAGAACAGGGGACGGGACATGGGGCATGAAGGCACAACTGGGGGTGAAGGGACATGGGACGGGGCAGCACTAGGAGTGTGGGGACCTGAGGGGGGGGGACGTGAAGCAATTACAGGCTGGGGGGACAGAACAGGGGGGACAGCCAAGGACATGAGGGGACACGGGATGGGGGTGGGGTTGGGGGGATGTGATTGGGGGAGGGGACGCAGGCCAGGGGGCAGAACGGGGGGCTGAGGGGGCCAATGGGTGAACGTTGGGGGTGGGGGGTGAAGAGCAAATCAGCTGGGGAGCCAGAACTGGGGTATCTGCCAGTTTCTCTGGAGCTCTGTCCCCGTGATCTTGTCCCCTCCCCTTTCTAGGCTCCCCCTCCCCCCACTGTCCCTTTCTCAGCATCCTGAGAGGGAAACTTGGCTCAGCCCCCCTGGGCCCTGAGCTGTGCAGACCCACTGCCCTGGGGATGGGCTGGGGAAGGGACACGGGGCCTTTCACCTCCACGGGGGCGGGGCTGGCTCTAATCTGTGTCCTTTTCTCTATCCACTACAGCCCACTTCCCCAACCAGAGCCAGGGAGAGAACCCAGGAGTCCTGGCTCCCAGCCATCCATGCCCCCCAATCATTGCCCCCTCACCCCCACCAGAGCCGGGGTATATAACAGGGTAGGTGCTGGGGCATCAGATTTACGCAGAGTTTCACTGGCAGTAGCAGAAACAGGAAGCGAGCGCCGGCTCTGGGCAGACTTCCCCTTTCACAGATTTATCTGCTGCTCCTTTAACAACTCAGGATCTAATTTACCCCTTCCTCTCCTGCTCATGGGAACCAGAAACCACAACCCCTGCCATCCTGTCTCTGTGCCATATCACTCAGCTAAGAACAGTGTCTGCAGCGACGGTACCTGAGAAGGAAGTTGGCCAGGTCCCTCCACCCTCATGCTCCAGGGCGGGTGCTGGGCCCAACCAGGTCAGGAAGGAACCTCTGCCCCGCTACATGGGAGAGGGTCACTCCATGGGGGGCACTGTCTGTGTGGGGTGGGAGCCCTCCTCTGCTCTGAGTTGCTGCTACAGGGAGTCTAGATGGGACCATTGGAAAAGGTCAGGGCAGCCTGGGCACCTCTTGACGCCTCCTGAGATTCACACGTTCCCAGCTGGTCCTTGGACTGGGCAGCTCCCATGTGGGGCTGGGAGGTGATGGGGGGACCAGGCAGCTGCAGGAGGGGATGTGGTTTGCTGGGCGTGGCAGGGAGTTGGCTTTGCTCTGACCACGGTAGATTTGGGCTGGAGATTGCAGAGAAAATCAGCTGATGGGGTGGAAAGGGGCCGAGCGCATCACGGGCTTCCTGGGGCTGCAGCCCCCGGCACAGTTCCTCATTCCGCTCGCACTCGGGCCTCAGGCTGGGTGGAGCTCAGCACTGGGGTGTTGGTGGCAGCACTGAGGGGCCCCCACTGCCCCATCATGGCGTCTGCTCTCACCGTTCTCCTCCTCGGTGAGTATCGGAGACAGCCAGGGCTTGTGCCCATGGGGGGGGATCTGAGACCAGGGTGTAGGATCCAGTCATTCTGGGATTTGATCTCTAATGAGCCGTCTCCTTTCCAGGCTGCTGGCTGGCCGGGCGGAGCGGGGTGTCGGGAGGTGAGTATCTGTGGGGAATGGGGTGCTGGGGGAATTTCCGCATTAAGGACGAGCGATGTGCGTTGGGGGTGGGGGGCACAGATCCCCCAAAGGGATGGTCCTGTCAGACACGTGCTCCCTCCCACACCCAGAGGTGGGGCCTGGGACCTCGCCCCACTCATTACAGGGATGGGAACCTGTTAGAACAACTGGGGGATTTTGTAAACATGTTTTCTTGGGGGGCCTGTCCTGGGAGCCGCTTGCTCAAATGACCCAAATTTGGACCAGGAACCCCACAGCGTAGATCCCAATTCACCACCTGACTGTGATTGGGGCAGGGCCGGGTTCTGAGCTGAGTCCCCTGGAGTCAATCCGGAATCGCCCCTGAGTGCAGCAGGGGCAGGGCTGAATTGACCCTGCATAACTAAAGGAATCAGAGACTGGAAATCTCCTTTCCCTCGTCCTGTGTCTCTTCCCGGCTGTGAGCCGCGGGGCCGGGCCTGTACCCCAGGGACAGGCGGGGGGTAAAAATCTGGAGCGACAGATGGGCAGAGGATTGAATCAGATGGATGTGGTTTGTGTCACCCCCACTTACTGCCTGTTTGTTTGTGAATCCAGAGCGATCCCTCCCCAAACCCTCCATCTCCGTCAGCCCCGGTGGGGTGATCCCCATGGGGGGAAACATCACCATCCGGTGTTGGCATCAGCACCTGGGCATGAGGTTCCACCTCTACAAGGCTGGCGTTGGGAACTCTCTGACTTACACAGACCCTGCTGGCTCTGAGGCTGAATTTCCCATCACCAGCGCCAGACGGGAACACGGTGGCAGCTACACCTGTCGTTATAGCAACAGAACAGGAGGTGCTGCCTTCTCGGAGCCCAGTGACCCTGTGCAGATCATTGTAGCAGGTGAGGGGCCCAGCCAGCACCTTGGCTCCCATCCCCACACCCAGACGGATCCCAGCAGATGGGACGTCCAGCCCAAGCACTGAAGGTTGGGTGGAGGGGGGATATCTTGGCCCCGTGGTGCTTTGGTGCCCTGGATCCCAGGGGAGACCCTGACCCTGTCTCTGCCCCGTCGCTGATGCTCCATGCCGGGGACGGGGCGCAGTGGCCGTGCCGGGGTCTGTCTCACGTCCCGTCTCCTCCCACTGCAGAGCTCAGCTCCCCCAAACCCTCCGTCTCCCTCAGCCCCAGCGGGGGGTCACCCTGGGGGGAGCTGTGACCGTCCAGTGTCGGGGTCAGCGCCGGGGTCTGGAGTTTGTTCTGGACAAGGCTGGGGCCAGGAACACAGCAGCGCTGGGCGGGGACTCAGCTGGGGTCAAATTTCCCATCCCCAAAGCGAGCCGGGCAGACGGAGGCAGCAACACCTGCTATCATCCCCCCGACTCGGATCCAGACCAGGCTCGGGGTCCCAGCTCTCCGCTCCACACCTAGACAGACACTTGGCCCAGCAGAGGGGACGCCCGGCCGGGGAACGGAGATGGAGTCACTGCGGGGTTCCCCAGCCAGGAGGGAGCAGCAGCCCCTGGAGACTCGGGGCAGGGAGGCTACTTGAAAGCTGCCCCTTGTGCGTAGGAACCGTGAGTCACTATTTAATCCTGTGATCCCATCTCCTCTGTTCTCCAGGCCCCGCCCCAGGCAGTGCCCTGGCTGGGCTCAATGAGGCAGGGGCTGCGTGAGGAGCAGTGTCTTGGTGGACACGGCGCTGGGCTGGGACCCAGAAGATCTGGCCCAGCTCCTGGCGCGGCCACAGACTCTGTGTGATGGGAGCATGTCGCGGTTTTCAAAAGTGTCCTTCATTGGAGGGGGGCTTCAATCTTGGGGGATCTCAGGCCAAGCGCCCACAACCCGAGACACCCACAGTTAGTGGAGACCTCTCCAAACGCTGGCCTCAATAGCGCTGGATCCCTTGTGTTGGGGGAGGACGTAGGGCCCCCGCCATGATCAGGGCCCTGTTGTGCCAGGCACTGCATAAACACAGAGTGAAGAGACAGTCCCTGCCCCTGGGAGCTCACTGAGGAAAGTGAATCTGTTTGTGCCTCAGTTTCCCCCATGTAAAATGGGGGTAATGACCCCTCCCCGCCTCCCTGGGGGTGACTCCCTTCCTGTGGGGGGCTCAGGCCCTGCTAGTGAAAACCAGATATTGAGCATCGGAACCTCCCCCGCCCCCTGCTCCGCCTCTTCACTGAGGCCCTATCCCCTGCTCCTCTTCCCCCCCTTCCCCACCGTCACTCGCTGCTCTCTCCACCACCCTCCCTCTGCCCCCCTGCCAGGTGAGCCGTGCTCCAGGGGTGGGGGTAGGGGTGAGTGGGGCAGGATGGGGGAGGGAGAGCTGCGCAGTGGGGGTGGGGGTGAGTGGGGCAGAGTAGCTCAGCTGCTCTTCCTGCCCCCTGGTGGCAGAGTCTGGGTACTGCAGGGAATGAGACAGTGTCCGGTCAGCGGCACTGCCAGGTTCCCTTTTCAACCCACTTTCCAGCTGAAAACTGGACACCAGCAACCCTGGGCCCTGCGGTGCCGGGCGCCAGAGACCAGCCCATGAGTCGCTCTGTCCGGGGCAGGCCGGACGCAGTGAATGAGGCGGGGGTCACACACGGCATATGAGGATCCCAAGCACTAGGGAGCCGCGGCTCAGTGTCTGTGGGGCTGGGAGCCCAGCTCGCAGGGCCGGGATTCTGGGTGGGGAGAGCTCTGGGATCTGGGAGAGAATCTCTGCCCAGGGGCCCCTGGATCTGTGGTGGTTGGGGCCGGCTCAGGTGGCCGGGGCTGGGTGGGTGCCCGGGTCTGGCTCTTACAACCTGTCTCCTGTGCACAGATCCCAGCTTACCCAGACCCTCCATATCTCTGAGACCCACCGGGGTCACCGTCCCAGGGGCAGACGTCACCATCCGGTGTCAGGGGCAGCACCGGTACGTGAGGTTCTTCCTGCACAAGGCTGGAGACCGGAACCCGCAGCGACACGTGGACCCTGCTGGGGCCAGGGCTGAGTTCCGCATCCCCACCGTGGGCCGGCAGCACGGAGGGAGCTACAGCTGCAGCTACCGGCACCCATCAGAGCCCTTCGTCTCCTCGCAGCCCAGCAACACCGTGCAGCTGGTGGTAGCAGGTGAGGGGCCCAGCTCCACGTCCCCGCTCCTAGCCCCACACCCAGCTGGACCCTTGGGGGCTCTGCCCTGATGAGACGCTCAGAGCCAGGCTCTGCCCTGAGCCCTGGGCCCAGCAGAGGGGCCGCCCGGCCGGGGAGTCACTGGGGGGTTCCCCAAGCCAGGGAGGAGCAGAAACTGCTGGAGATTTGGTGCTGAGGGGGGATCCCAGCCCCCAGATGGCTGTCCCTGCTCTGGGGTTGCACAGAGGGGTCAGGACCCAGTGGCTCCCTATGGTACTGGCCCCAGCCACACAAACACCCTGTCCCCCAGGGGGGGCAATTGCTGAGTCAGTGTTTCAGCCCCTCCCCACACCCCGACAGATGCTGGATCTATTCCCGCAGGGGGGACTGACCCGACCCAGCCTGGACCAGCGACGGCTCCCACCCGCCCAGGCAGTGCGGGGACAGGTACCAGGGCCAGGGGGGAATCACCATCCAACCAGCCCTGGAAGGCTCGTGCTGCCCAAGGAGCTGCAGCCGGGGTTGGGGCTGGTCGGGCGGGATGGGGGCAGTGACTCTTGGTGCATGAGCCCAGACACCAGGGGGAGGGGCAGCCCCTGCCCATCCCTCACCACCAGACTCCCAGCTCCTCCGGCACCTCCTGCCCTGTAGGTTCTTGCCTGGAAGCTACTGGGGGATCCCAGGAGAGGGACAGGATCCGGGGGGCCTGGCTATGGGGTTGGGCCCAGCTGGGTGCCTGGGCGGGGCCTGGGACTAGGGTTGCCAGGTGTCCGGTTTTTGACAGGAACATCAGATTGCAAAGGGATCCTGGTGCACCCCAAGCCCCTGCCCCAGCCCAGTGAAAATGAGCGAGTGAGTGAGGATGGGGGAGACCAAGCGATGGAGGGAGGGGGATGGAGTGAGTGGGGGGTGGGGCCTCGGGACAGGGGCAGTTCGTCCACCTGGGCAACTGCTTTGTTGGGGAAGCTGAGGCCCCAGGACCAGACCTGACGGACGGGGGGGTCGGGGGCTCCGCTCCCGGGGCAGCACCAGCTGCTGATCTCCCTATCCAAGCCACCGAGTGACTCTTCCCTTCCCCCCACAGCAGCCCCCCCGGGGCGCCCGGATTTCACCTACGCCAACATCGCCCGCCTGGTGCTGGGCACCATGGTCCTGCTCGTCCTGGGGCTGATCCTGGCTGAGGCCTATTCCAGCCGCCCGAGGGGGGTGCCCTAGGTGAGGTGACCCCTTTGTCGCTCATGTCTGGATCCTTTTCCAGTTTCTCCACATCCTTTCTATACAGCGGTGACCGGAACTGGACACAGCACTCCCGGCCTGCCCAGCGCCGAGCAGAGCGGTACTCTCAGCGCCCGTGACTTGCACGCTGCACCTCTGTTAATGCAGCCGAACATTGCATTTGCTTTTGTTTTGCAACGGCATCGCGTTGCTGACTCACGTTGAGGGTGTGATGATCCACGACAACTCCCCGCTCCGTCTCAGCAGTGCTGCTGCCAAGCCAGTGAGCCCCCATCCTGTGCTTGTGCATTTGGTTTTTCTTCCCTACGTGCAGCACCTCTGTTGACTTTCAAATAGCTTGGAAAAGACATGACTAAGGTGGGATACGATAGAGGTCTATAAAATCATGACTGGTGTGGAGAAACTAAATCAGGAAGTGTTGTTTACTCCTTCTCATAACACAAGAACGAGGGATCACCCAATAAAATTAATAGGCAGCAGGTTTCAAACAAACAACAGGATGCATTTCTTCACCTAACGCACAGTTAACCTGTGGAACTCCTTTCCAGAGGATGTTGTGAAGGCCAAGATTATAACAGCGTTCAAAAAAAAAACTAGATAAGTTCATGGAGGATAGGTCCATCAATGGCTATTAGCCAGGATGGGCAGGGTTGGTATCCGTAGCCTCTGTTTTCCAAAAGCTGGGAATGGGGGACAGGGGATGGATCACATGATGATTCCCTGTTCTGTTCATTCCCTCTGGGGCACCTGGCATTGCCCATTGTCGGGAGACAGGTTACTGGGCTAGATGGACTTTTGTTCTGACCCAGTCTGCCCGTTCTTATGTTCTTAACTTCCTGCATCTCCCCATCTGCTGTCATGTCATAATTATCATCCAACCTCTCCATGGCCTGGCACGACCCCCTGTAATTTTGCACATCTCTCAATATTTCAATGGATAAAAATAGAGAAAAATGCTTAAAACACATCATTTTGTGCCACTCTGGCCCTTTCACTCAACACAAATCTCTCGTAGGGGGTCTGGAACCCCGGCCCTGGCCCCTCTCAGCACCTCTCCAGCAGCGCAACAGGGGAAATGCCTGAAAATAAACCCTGCTGTGACCTGTGGGGATTATTAAGCAAGAAGTCAAGTGCTGCCGAGCGCCGAGGGGCTGGAAATGCCCGGCTGGCCCGTGCGGCAGAACAGCCCCGGCTGGGGGACACTCACCGATTTCCAGTCGGATCGGTGCCGGGAGCGCGCACGGAGCTCACCTGGGACGGGACCAGCTGCAAAGTACCAGGGCCCGGCCTCCTTCCCATCACCTGAGCGCTGGGGAGTGTGTCATGCTGCCCTGGGCAGGGGGCAGCCAGCAGGGGGCAGGACACACACACACACACACACACACACCAGCAAGGGGCAGGACACACACACACACACACCACCAGGGGGCAAGGCTGGATGGACACATGCACGCGGGCTCCCGGGGGAGGCACCAGCTGTACTCACTGCTGTACTCAGCTGCCCTAGTGGGGCAGCCCCCCCTGCAGGAACCCCCCACCCACATCACTGCCCAGCCGGGGGGCCGGCTCCGACTGGGGCTGCCCTGGGGGAGGGACAGGGGAAAGGGATCCCTCCGAGCCCCCTCAGCAGTGACCCAGATTCACACAGGGCCCCATTGTGCCAGGCTGGCAGTGGGACCCCCGTGGGCCATGTGGGGCGGGGCCATGGGAACGGGACACAGACAGAGCCCTGGAAAGACCCAGGCCAGAGGGTAAGGGGGTGGGGCGCAGTTTCAGTTTGCTGGGAGGACGACAGGATACTGGCCTAGATGGACCTTTGGTCTGACCCAGGCTGGCCATTCGTATGTGTTAGGTGTGGTCAGAACTACAGTATCAAAGAGGGCAGACCCAAGGGAAACCCCAGCAGGAACCATCCCGCTAGCGATGCTTGTCTATTGAGAGGCCCATCGGAGCCGAGAACACCGGTGGGGATGTGAAGATGACTACGGCTGTAATTGTCGCACAGGTTTTTGTAGGATTTCTCTCTGCAGGAGTAATTGGAACTTTGCTTAGCACTGGGGCCAGCCCTGATGGCCAGGGGAGAGCGCCCCCTAGTGACCTCTGCGCCCACTCCCTGCAGCACAGCGCCCCCTAGCAGTGCACTGGGGTATCAGGGCCAGCACTGACTGACAGGGGAGAGCACCCCTCTACTGAGCCCCTCCTCCTGCTCCCTGCAGCATAGCACCCCCTAGTGCAGTAGTGGGCCCTAATGGGTTAGAACAGGTGGGCTAGGATCCAGGACTCCTGGGTTCTATCCCTGGCTCTGGGAAGGGAGTGGGGTTTAGTGGTTAGAACAGGGGGGCTAGGAGCCAGGACTCCTGGGTTCTATCCCTGGGAAGGGAGTGGGGTCTAGTGGTTACAGCAAGTGGGAGGCTGGGAGCCAGGACTCCTGGGTTCTATTTTGAAGGCCGGGCACCCCACCCCACCCCTTTTCCTCTCAGCAGCTAGTTCCCAGCCTCCCAGGGCACCTTTGCACCCGGGCGCTTGCCAATTCTGACTGGTATCAGGGAGGGGCAGCGTGGGTGGGTGTGACCCAGCAATCTGGGACAAGGAGTGCATGGGCTGGGGGTGGCAGGGGGCTGGACAGGGAGCTATTGGCAGGGGGGGGGAAGATGGGGGGGCGCACCATGCCTGAACTGGACAGGAAAGGAGAGGCTGGATGAGGAGCAAGGGGGCGCTGGCTGCCACGGGGGGATGCCGTGCCCGGCCACCTCGGTTCGTTTCCTACCCCTCTACCTTTGCCCCTGTAAAGACTGTGATACAGATGGACCAATCTAGGTGCCGAAGGGTGGGGGGTATCTTGGGTTACCTGAGGATGGGGAATAAACTGGAGGGGATGGTACTGCCCCCCCCCGAGGGGAAATAGACAGCCAAGGCACCATACAGTAGGGACCAGGGTAGGTGGCTCACTGGGGGGCCCTAAATCTAGGCGGGCTGAGCAGAGAGGTAACATGTCTTGCCCAAAACATTGGCAGAGAATAGAACCCCGGAGTCCTGGCTCCCAGCCCCCCCCCCCACCTCCAAAACCACTAGCCCTCACTCCCCTCCTAGAGCTGCGGATATAATCCAGGTGTCCTGACTCCCAGCCCCTCACCCCCGACCGCTGTAACCACTAGACCCCACTCCCCTCCCAGAGCCGGGGACAGAACCCTGAAGTCCTGGCTCCCAGCCCCTACTTTGCAGTTTTGTGACAGCGTCCAAAGGGTTAACAGCAGCCCAGCCTGAGCCGGGAGGGGGCGGGGCGATGAACCTAGGCTATAAAGGGCCCCACGGGAGCGCTCACCTGCTTCCCGTAAACTGCGGGCTCTCGGAGGACTTCCAGCCGGAGGCTATGGCAGGTGAAACCGGGGAGCCAGGACGCCTGGGTTCTATCCCCGGCTCTGGGAGGGGAGTGGGGTCTAGTGGTTAGAGTGGGGGGGGCGGGCGTGGGAGCCAGCAGGACTCCTGGGTTCTATCCCTGGCTCTGGGAGGGGAGTGGGGGTCTAGTGGTTAGAGTGGGGGGGGCGGGCGTGGGAGCCAGCAGGACTCCTGGGTTCTATCCCCGGCTCTGGGAGGGGAGTGGGGTCTAGTGGTTAGAGTGGGGGGGGGGGGGGCTGGGGGCCAGGGTGCCTGGGGTCCATGCCCCGCTCTGGGGGGGGGGGGGGGCCCGGAGGCCTGGGGTCCCCGCCCCGCTCTGGGGGGGGGGGGGGGCCCCGGGGCGCCGGGGGGGGGGG